GTTTGGGAAAAGTATTCAGATCTATGGAAAACATTGTTTTCTATATTGTTACTTAGTCCATATAGAGCATATGAGTATATGGTACTAATATAGCATGTTAGTTAAGAAGATGGACTTTGTATAACAAAGACTTATGTTCAAATCCTAGTCAAATGGGGGATGTCATTACAGTAAGTATATGTAACTAGTATGACTTCTCAAATTTAAATTACATTCAAAATTTCTTCTTTGAATTTGAGAAAAACCGATAATATGACATGTCAGTGAAAACCAATATCTCAGATGTCATGAGATAGAGTAAATCCTGTTTTACTTTATAGGCTTGGGCGTATGGAAGTGTTAGCTCTTGGCACTGACTTTGTTTATGGATACTGTACATGGAAATTGCTTAATGTATTCAGCACATAGAGATGTGTTCAGCACATACAGAAATGACAGAACTGCATTTTCACAGCCTTTGTGGAAAACAAGTTAAAAGCTTTTTTCACCTCTGGAGGTACACTACGCACCCTTGGTCTAACCCTGCCCCACCCCCCAATATTCAGCAGAGAGCAGGACACAGCCTGTATGAGATTATGTTTTCTCATTTAGCCATTTTGATCTAGCTATCTTTCTTTTACTCCTAGATTCCATGATGTAACACTAATTTCTAAGCTTATATTGAAATTGAAGAAATTACTTAAAGAACTATATCACTTAGACTAGAAAATTCACCTGTAAATAGTTCAACTGTCTGTTGATTTCCTAAATAGCAACAATCCTAATTTTTGAGCATAATCAACATCTCCAGAGATCATTTCCTTACTTCCTTTCCTTCTCTCTCCTTCCCTTCCTTTCTTCCTTCCTTCCATCCTTCTTTTCTTCCACAATACTTATTGGGAAATGATCTATATGAAAATCATGATTAGATACAGTAAAGGACTCTATGATGCGTTACATAGTATCACCCTTGGGTAACTTTCAGTCTGGTAGGGAACATAACACCTATGCACAATAAATGATAGAAGATATTCTATATGGGTCGTACAGACCAGTGTTTTTCAAACTGCACATTGTGATACAATTAAAGGGTAATTAAATCTCTTTAGTGGATCGCAGTCAGAACTTTTGCCACATAAAAAGAAAAAAGACAATATTAGAGTGGTATTGCAAATAATGTGGGTAAGTATTGTTCATGAAGCTTTTGTGTAGGTGTGTGAGAGTTGATGGTGGGTGTAAGTCTGCATGAAATGTGTGCCAAGAAAATGCATTACTGTGACTCCAAT